TTATCATTTGAAAGAAATTTCAGTAAGGTATTTTTCCACAAGATCATGCCTCACAGTTGTGTTTTTTTTTTTTTTTTTTTTAAGCCCTTGTTGAGTTTTGCAGAGGAACATGGTGGAGTGGTTGCAGTGTATGTTCAAATCTCTTGGAGATTAGAAGAGCGATATCTCTCCAGTGCATTTTTCTTTCAGATGGGACCCAGCCTGAAAGCAGTTTGTTTTAAAAGATACCCTGTGCTTTTTGAATAGATTTCTGTAGCTTCCCAGAGTGTATGTTCTTCTTTATTACTTACACAGCTTATGCAATGTGATTTTTAAAGTCATGTTTAATCGAAGAGAAATTTTAAAAAAAAATGTATAGTCTGCTGTATGTTGGAACAGGAATAATTTTCTTGTATGTATTCCTCCGTCTTCACTGCACAGGATATTTGTATGTAAGAAATCAATTTGCAATTATTTTTCCAGTGTGGTATCTTTGCATATATTTTTTCTTCTTCCCCCCCGATTTTTCTGTGTTGTTTATTTTCAATTTCTCTTTTTATTAGTTGTTTTCCAAGAGGCACAAAAGGTCCTTAAGAGGGTCTGTCTCACCCTGTGGGCAGTCCTCACATACCTAGTCCTCTTTCAGAATGTGAGGGTGGCATGAAGAGTAATAGGTATTTAGGGTGCTCCTGTGTTACATAAAGTGCTGTTTCCCTGTACTTTTATGCATACTTCATGTCAAGACTAAGTGAGGGTCTTGCAGAAGTTGCGAGGACGATGCAGCCATGCACCAGCATCAGCATGCCTGCTGAGCTGCTGGGAGGGCCAGGCTACCACAGCCTCACTGGGGAAGCCAGGGCTGATCTTGGAAAAGACTCTGGGGCTCTGTGGGGAGAGCAAGTCTCTTTGGTCAAATGTGTTTTCTCTCAAACCAAGAGCTCTATCCAAGTTAATTTTAAAAACTAGAGAAGTTTGGATGCCTGAATGTTTGAATTAGTGTAGATTCTGACAAGTTCTTGGTTTAAGCATGTAGGAAAGCTTGTTTTCCTTTTCAGGGGAACTACGAATAAAAAAAGTGTGTATTTATTCCCATATGGGTCAAGGCAGAGAATCTCTGTGAGGCAATGGTGCAGGAACAAGCATTATAACTAAAATATTTGGCGGTGCAAACGCATTTCGCAGCACACCACCCCTCCTGTTTTTGGGTTTTTGTTCACGTTTCTTTTCCATGTTGCTTTATATTCCAAACTTGCGTGTAAACAGTGAAGATAAGTGCCTTAGTGTATTTTAAAGGGGCTGAAAATGTCTCATGGATACTGGCCAGCTGCTTCTTACATGAACTGCTGATTCTTAATTCAACAAAATAAACTTAATCTAGTTCATATGCCCCTTAAAACAGAATATCACACCCCCACCCCCAAGAAGTTGTATGGCATTTGGCATAGACTGCAGTGCCATTAAAACACACACAATATTTTTAAAGACTACATATTAATTTGCAGTTTACATTCACTTGCGTTTCCTTATGGCTTACCTCTCTGCTAGTGGGGATTTCTGTGCTGTGACAGTCTGGGAGAAATCTGCAGGCTGGGTGTAACTCCGCTATGGATTCTGTGGGACAAACCAGTGCTGTGGAACTGCAGAGCGAGCTTGGACCAAAGCACTGAAAGGTTACTGGTTACCACCTGAAATTGCTGAGAGGTGAAACACTTTTGGTAGCCTGGGGGTAGCTGGAGGTGGCTGCATTCCATGTGTGCTGAAAGAGACTTATTTCAGAATACTTTCAAAGTTGGAATTATTTCAAAATACAACTATTTTTATCATCACAGTCATCCAGAAAGAAACAAAAATAGCTATGGCAAGATTCTACTCGCAATGGAAGAGTAATTGGTGTAATTTGATTTTACCAGTTGACATCTTCCATCCCTTGTGCCATCTTTGATGTTTACTAATTAATATTGAGGTAAAAATTATTAAGCCAGAATGTTATTTTTTATTTGTAGGATTTTTACAAGTGTTTTTTTTCCTCATTGTTATGTTCAGTCTTCTGAATTGAAGCTTTTTTGAAAGTTGTAATTTTATTTGCTGCTTTCCAATGAACAACTGGCTTTGCTGTTCTGCAGAGAGCCCCTCTAGAAGAATTACTTTTAAGTGACACTCAAATGGTATGAAGGGGGAATCGTGAGTTGTTCATATACGTTTGTGTCAATCGATTTACCAAAGCCTAGGGTAGACCTCCATAGACTGTGTAAAGCAAGCTCAGGTTGGTTGAACACCCTTACTCCCAGTGGAATTTTTGTCTGTGGAAGATCAGACTTGAAATTTTGTGGGTGTTAAATGTGTATGAATTCAAATAATTAAAATCTAGGAATAATTTATTTCCACTTCTAAAGTTATAAATTGCAGTGCATTGGCCAAGATAAAGTAACAAAGACAAAACAATTTTTTTTTAATATTTTGGTGAAGACAATTACACTTCCATTAAGTATTTTAGACTAATAAAATAATTCATTAATTTTTTAACTCTTTTTTCCCCCCTCAGGCCTAATTTAATATAGGACTAGGGGGATCTCCTGTGAGTGGCTAATACCCTTCTTATAAGTAATGCTTTTCTTCATAGCCTCATTTTCATAACTAAGTTTCATTAATGAAAATGCTATAAATAATTAAAGTGAAATATGTCAAGACTAAGCCCAGGGAATCTGTGGCCAAGTAAACAAAGGGTCTGAAGCTTTGGATTTATATGTGCTTGAACTGCTGCATATAGCATTCTTGTCTAAGTTTGGCTCTTAGAGCTCTTTTGAACTTTCAGACAGGAAGCACTGTAGAAAGTTGAGTTAAAAAGGGACCTACATTTAAAAATAAATAAAAAAAAAGTCGATAGTCTAAAAGTTGGCCTGCCAATAAAAGCAGTATTCTCACTGGTGAAAACTGTAGAATATTAAGAATGTAGAAAACATTGTATAAAATATCTGAAAAAATCTGTCCCCAAAGTTTTCTATTTTTTATCCCTGAAATTATGTGGATCATTTCAGAAGAAGCTGTTGCTTGCATTTAGCATGGTAGTATACTTGATCAAGAAGTTACCTGGTGTATGATTTAATGAGTTCTAGGTTAAGTCTTTGATTATAAGGCAACACGGTTGTTACTTGGCAGAGTTAGATTATGGGTCAAATAAATAAGATGCTACTCTGAATTGTTTCATCTATCAATGTGCAGTGTAAACCTCATTTGTATTTGCTTTTTGGCATGTTTGTACCTTCTGGTACAGCTACAACTTCAGCGGCTGCCATCCTTTATAGAGCCAGGAAATTTTTTCCAAGGCTGTCCCTGAATTTACTTTTAAATAGCTAATTTTAGAAATTAATTTAGGTACTCTAGTTTGTAAACTTCCTGCTCATTTAGACTTCTGAATTTGTGAAATTTATTTTTTTTTCAGCAATAATAAAAAATTGATTTGTTCAAGAAATGAAATTGTTTTTGTAACTCATCCCTTAAATATCGTTGAATGCTCTCTGAGGAACACGTAGTTTGGGTTGATGCTGTTTGATAACTCTTAACATGCTGAATGGATACTAGATATGCAGAAAAACAAACCCAGAAGTGAATGGTGTCTTGTAGCAAATAAGAAGGCTAAATTAACTTAAATGTAATAAAGTTGTTCTCTAGTGTGTAACCAAGACAATCATTGTGACAGTCTTACCTTGCTTTTTATTAAGCTCGTGCTTGTGATGTGGTTAGACTATTTATTTACGTATTGAAGAGACTCAGAGGTGAATACAGTGAGAAATCTTAAAATTTACAATTGTAAATCTGTAGCTCTTTGTTGAGTCATAGATATTAAGTGATGGATATGCGAATAGAGGTCTTGTTAATGCTCTGCATATTTTTAGCTACATTTTAAGAAGCTGCTGTTAATGTGGCAATAGATCAGTTCTCTTCATTAGAGAATGCTGTGTTCTTTGATCTTAGTCATGTGGTGTTTGTAGCCCTTAATGAGGGGGGGTGGGGGGTGGGAAGATTGTTTCTTTTCCAATTACTGCAGTGTAAAACAATCTATGGGGATCTTGACCATTGGTTTTTGCTGTATATAAGGGGGAGAATTGCTGGGGTGTGTTTCATCTTCCACTGAGGCGGATACTGACTCTTGCATTTAATCATGACAAGATACAAAAACATTTAAACTTTTATTACTCTGTTAATCAGAGTTGTTTCTTGTTTTGTTTGTTTGTTTATGGTTAAGATTCTGTTTCATTGAGGTGGGTGGTGCTGTGATTTCCTGTATGTCCTGTTGACATAAATCACTGACTTTTAAGGTAATTTGATACCTACACACATAATCAGTTTATTGTTAGTTTTAGACTAAATTTTACCCTTGGAGGTTTTTTTTTTCCCTTCATTGTCCCTCAGGAAGTAACTTTTAGTTTTCATGAATGCTTCGTCTGGCTCTGGGTTCTCGTTTGCTCTCTAATCAAAGTACTGAGCATCCTCAGCCTCTGCGCCTGCTCTGTGCATGCCACATCAAGCACAGCAGAGCTGTCTTAGGCGCAAAGCAATGTAGTTGCCAGTAGGAATATGATACTTGCTAAAGTTTCTAGGAAAGCCTTTTATCTTTGGCAAGTAAGTATTTTACATGAAATTACACATGATGGTAAAGCCACAGATTTAGAGTGTAATAACCCCCTCAAGAAATGTTTTCCTCATTTAAGGTGTATTTTTAGCCACTTCTGCCTGGTTTTAAAACAAAAAAATATTTTTAAAGGTTGCACTTCATTCAAGACGCTGTGATGTCAGTGTATGTAAATGAATGTTTCCTGTTTTATGCATTTTACTTATTTAGTAATTACGCTTGTCATTGAAGTCTAGAATATCAGCAGAAGGAGAAACTGCTGCTTTTTGGTGCAGTAAATTGTCGTATGGTGTGCTTCTGAGTACGGGGCGAGTGATGGAATTGTTGAAAATGAATATATTTTAATATATTTAAGAATCTGTACATTTGTATGATTTTGTTCTTGTTTCAGGTGATCTATGCCATCTTCTTACAGAGCACACAGAGGGAAATTTTCACTTCGGACTCTCCTGAGCAGCTGAAAGGAGAAACGTTACCCTGAGACTGAAGCAATAAAAACACTTCTCTGCAGAACCGTATGATTGAAAATGCGGTCCAGCCCTCCTCTGCTGCCAGACATGCTTTTGTGCTCCTGCCCCGCTTACCTGTTGTTGCAGTAATACTGATGGATCGTAGAAGAGAGGCAGAAATGGAGTTACGGAGATCGTCCAGCCCTGGCAAGCTAAGCAAGAACGATATGGATGCTGACAAGACCATGTGCCACAGCTGTTGCATCTGCGGTAAAAGTTTTCCTTTTCAGAGCTCCCTGTCACAACACATGAGGAAGCACACGGGTGAGAAGCCCTACAAATGCCCTTACTGTGATCATAGAGCTTCCCAAAAGGGCAACCTGAAGATTCACATCCGTAGTCACAGGACAGGCACTTTAAGTCAGGGACACGAGGTGGAGATGGGAGAGGCACAGCTGGGGGAGATGGGCGTTTCAGAGGGCCTTGGTGGGTGCACCAGCCCCACTAAAAGTACATCTGCCTGCAACAAGATCTTGAATGGTACTGCTCAGGTCGATAGCAGCAAGATCTTGTTGAGAAGCAGCAAGAAGGAGGTCACAGAGACGGCACCAGCCGAGGAGGATAGCAAGCTGACCTCTTACCAGTGCACCTTCTGCAAAAACAAATTTGAAAGGAAGAAGGACCTGGAGCAGCATCTGCACCAGGTCCACAAACCATTCAAGTGCAGGCTGTGCAGCTACATGACCTTGAGGGAGGAGACGCTGTTAAACCACATAGAGAAGGACCATATAACAGCTCAGGTCCCCAATGGGGAGGCCTGCACTGAGAACTGCAAGAGCGAGCTGAGTGCAGGCGAGTTTCCATGCGAAGTCTGCGGTCAGGCCTTTAGTCAAACCTGGTTCCTGAAAGCTCACATGAAAAAGCATAGGGGCTCATTTGATCACGGATGCCATATTTGTGGCAGGAGATTCAAAGAGCCCTGGTTTCTCAAAAACCACATGAAGTCTCATGGCCCCAGGTCTGGGAGCAAAAACAAACCAAAAAATGATTTGGAGCTCATAGCCACTATCAATGACGTGATACAAGAGGAGACAATTGTGACAGGCCTATCTCTGTATGAAGTTTGCACCAAGTGTGGAAATCTGTTTACAAATATGGAAAGCCTGAAAGCGCATAACGTTGTTCACTACCGGGTGCAGCCGGGCAGCACCGGGGATAAAGCTGAGGGCTTGACCGATGGGAGCCTGAGCTCTTCGGTAACGAAGCAGTTTTTCTTGCAGTGTCTCAATCTACGGCCATCTGTAGCACTGGATAGAGTTACAAGAGGGCAACCTGGGAAAAGAGTAGCCGAGCTGGATCCGGTCAGTAGCTACCAAGCTTGGCAGCTGGCCACCAAAGGAAAAGTAGTGGAGCCCTCGGAGTATGTGAAGTATGTGGGATGGGATGAGGCCCTGGCAGATGCGGACGTGACGTACGACAAGGATAAGAGGGAGTATATCCTTGTCAACCAGGAGAAGCGCAAGCGAGACCAGGACTCGCCCAGCAACCCCAAGAAGAAGAGCTGCACCAGTGGGCGCCCAGAGAAAACCAGCAATGCCCCGCCAGGGGAGAGCTGCCCGCTTGCCCAGGGGGATCTGGACTACCGCCCTGCCTCACGGCAGAGCCGGCGGGCCGCCCAGAACAAGTCCACCGAGTGCTTTGAGTGTGGAAAGATCTTCCGCACCTACCACCAAATGGTGCTGCACTCCCGGGTGCACCGCAAGGAGCGGAGGAGCTGCAGTGAGGGCGGGACGGCTGCCCAGCCTGACCGCTACGGCTCCAGCAGTGAGGAAGGTGACTTGGGGTCCGTCAGCGGGCCCAGCACCCCTGGCTCTGCATCCGCCCCAGAGGACTCGGCCACCTCTGGCTTGGGGGAGGAGGGGGCTGAGGAAAGCTCAGAGGAGGGAGCAGCTAACCCCTTGCTAGGTAAGATCACTTCCAGCCTTTCCTTGCTAATGTTACTGGTCCCTGTGTCTCCTGGTGTGGGACACAGCAATGAGCAGATGAAGAAATATGTGAAAGCATGTGAAAGGTTTAAAGGCAGTGTGGATGGGGTCTCGTGCCTCCTGCTTGTCTCAGCATGGTGGCTCGTTTCTGATGCAGGTAATAAAGTGAGATCAGGTGATGTCTTCATAATATGCCAGTGAAGGACACCTGAGAAGTATCTTAGTTGCCTGTAGCAACATTGTAGGGTAGGGTAGTGTCTTCCCTGGATATCCTGGGGTCTGTTCTTCCTCAGTTCATGGGTACCCTGTGCAGTGTTCTACCTGCAGTGTACAGGTGTAGCAGGGTCACAGCCTGTGTAATCTAGACCCAACGCATAAACTTGTTAATCGCCAACATGAGAGGAGTGTCTCTCCTCTTCTCTGCTTCACTTCCCAAATTGTGTTTATAACTCCAAAGGCTATAATTAATCTCTCTGGATTAAAGCGGTCCTTTGAGCCCAATGCTACTAAATGGAACAAATTATTCTCCAAATAGCAGCAAAGTAAATATTTAAAAGAACGCCATTAAGCACTTTTGTATCTTCTTTTTTTTTTTTAATCTTTTATTTTTGTTGTTCACCATGCTTTGTTTATAATACCCTTTTAGAAATGTGAGATTAACCATTCTTTCCTTGCTAGCCCTTCTGCTGGTTTTTGTTTGGTTTCTGTTTGGTGAACAATAATGCCTTCCTCTCATTTTCATTCCTTTTGTTGTGAAGAACGTAGTTATCTATAGAGTTAAACTCATTTTCAAGACCATCGTGGATGAAGTAATCTGCACCATTGTAAAAGAGGGTGGGTTTATTCAATTACCTTGTTCTTTCAGGATATTATGTATGTTGCCCTTTTTCCTGGCTTCAGACCCTGCAGCAACAAAACGACTTTTTCCAGAATTGTGTATTGTTACATGTTTTTCATAAATTTTTGAAGCAATGTGGGATACATTTATTTTGTCATTAAGTTTCTTTCATGCATGTTTTATGATTTTAGGACAACTAAAGTTATGACTGACACTGCTTGGCAATATAACTTCCAAATGTAAGGTGTAGAGGGAAGAGAGCTCCAAAGGGTTGAAATTCTAAAAAATTAAACCCATCTTTTTGTCCTTAAACTTACAGAGACAGTCATAAACTTCATTTTGCTTTTGGATCAAGTCCTCAATGGACAAATTGAGTGCACACTAGAACAGAAAAGTAAATTAATCCAAGAGCTCCACTTTTTTTTTTTTATGCTTTCTTGCCCTTTCTGTAAACAACTCCAGAAAGTCCTAGTGACAAGCTGACAAATACTTTCAGTATAATTATTTGCTCATTTAAAAGACTCAGACTTTGGCTTTTCCATCTGCTGTTGGATTCTTGAACACTTAAACAAAGCTCCTTATGGGAGCGTGCATAGTTATTTTGTCAAAATCCATCAGCTGCCACCTGAAACACTTGGGTACAGTTGACACAAGATGTGGCAATAAAACTGTAGCTTTATCTAGAGTTAAGTAGGGTGCCATGTTTTACAATTGTAATGTTCAGTGCCCTTATCAAAACAGCTGTGATGAAAAACCATCTCTCTGGAGATGAGGTAAAAACATCATAACACTTTTTCGCATGATGTTCAAATAGGAAAACTGTTTTTACACACTTTCCATATTAAACACTTTATTTCTAGCAAGAAGAGTTGTCTCATATCTTTGCTTGTTCTGATTCTTGCTTCAACTCAAGCTTTGAGCCCTTGTTGCAGGAGTGAAAGGGAAGAGTTAGAGTCACACAGCAATTTCCTCTCAGGAATTAAAGTTACTGGGTTAACTGTTGTTACTAGCCAACACCTGAAAACTTGTTTCTGTGGATATCAAATTGGTCCTCATCTTCTTTAACTGTAAAGAAGCAGCAAACTAATGGGCCTAAATAAAGGTGCATCTTGGAAATGGGATTTGTTTGCAGTGATGGGTGAGGAGGGTGGCTGCTTCATTTTGTCTTTGCTAATATCACAGGTGAAGAGCTATCAGGTGCTTAATTGGCTAATAAGAAATGTTTTAATCCAAGAAGAATATTACCCTTGCTCTTTAGTAGAGTTTATTTAACTCAAATCACTGCCTCAATAAAGTGAATTTTTTTTTACAGGTGACAAAGATTTTTTTTGAATTTGAAAGAAAGGTGGAGAGGGTTTTTTTGGTGTTTTTTTGTTATTTTGTTTAGAGGAGGTTTCATAGGTCAGTGTTCAGGACTTTAATTTCTCAGTTGTCTCTTTTTGGTATGCACATTTACTGTCACGGCCCTTATATTGTGTTCTGCCTCATGGTGTTTTCAATAGTACATTTCTGCTGAAGTGCCCTTTTGTCCAGCAAGCTGTAGAATTAGTTTTAATCTCAAGATTTTAAACTCAAGAGGCTTTCTTTCCCTCCCCTGTGAACAGTAATTTAAGGTGTAAGGAATATAGGCCAAATTCTGCCCTCATGTATGTGCCTGTTAAAATCAGGTGTTCTGGTATGGCCTTGAAGCACATTTTGTCCTAGAAGTGCTGTAGTTTGCTATCCTGCAGCTTTTTTTAGTTATTCTTCCAGGTGAAGCTTTTCCATCAAGAGTAGCTCTCCAGCCCCATGGACAGCCTCCCTCCCCAGTGGAGGCAGGCAAGCAGTGCTCTTGGTTCCTGTTCCTGAAATTATTTCTGCAGTATTATTTTTACTCAGGCTGTGGTCAGGAAAATCTTGTGCTATTCATGAGGTTATATAGTATCTGTTGTTTTTTTTTTCACTTTCCTATCTTTAATGTTTTTTCCCCCTTTGACGCATTACTATGTTATCCTGTGTCAGAAAAAGGCCTTGAGACTGCCAAGTATTGAATGTTGTGGCCTTGACACAGCTGAAAGTACTTCTTTGTGCCTTTAATTCTTAGTAATCTGAGCAGTCCTGTTGACGCACAGTGTCTTGCAACAGGGAAGCTGTCAGTGGACCTGTATGGTCCTGGGCCAGCAGGTGTTGAGGCTGAGGGTGACAGGGACTGTGAAGTACTGGTAAGGCTTACTGGGAGAAGAGCAAGAACTGCACCTTGCATGTGAAATGGGGTTTAAAGCCCCCAGGGTAGGCACTTCTTTTTTTCGTAGCACATCTGCCTTTGGGGAGTAACATCATGATTTCTCAGGCACAAGGGAGGGGGATGGGGGGAACATAGTATTTGCAAACCCAGTTTATCAACTGCTGGGGATAAGACTACAAAGTGTATTTCATCTATTGGAAGGAGAGTAAAAATGTGTTTTCTAGAGTTTTCTAGAATTAGATGTAGTATACTGTGTGATACCTATCATGCAAGAAGTAGGTGTGCTTTGCGTGACAGCCATGTGGGAAGAGGTGACTCAAAGCACATTTGCTTTGTTGACAGCAGACTTTGAATATTTTTGATATCTTCCTACCCCAGCTGAGTCTTTGTTTTTATTTATCATTCAAGCCACTACCCAACTGTATTTGAATTTTCTCTGAGTTGCATCCAAAGCTGTCTGAACCATCCAAAGTTGTCTTCTCCAACTTGAGATTGTTGATTGGGCTTTTTTGTGATTTTTATTTTTCCCTAAAAAGAGCCACAGAGCTATGACTGAGAGAGTAGAGAAGGATTATGTATGTGTTGATAAAAGTGAAGGGAAAACACCATTTTTATAATCTTTCAGCCTCTTGGCTGAAATGTAGTTTTAGATATGTCAGTGAATTTGGTGTTTAGTATTTTTAAGGCGTGAGCCTCTTCATTGCCATGGTGTGTTTAGCAGTGAAGGTGTTACAGTTTGTTACATTAGGCTCTATGAACTATTTCCGTCCTGCAGTGAAGAAGGAAGTATAATTTTTGAGGCTGTTACTGCTGTTGGTAGGTGGGAAGATGAAGAAAAGAAGTGAAAACAATTTTAATACCTCTTGGTACTCAGCAGACTTAGTAAAAGCACAGACTTGTCTTAGCCCAGTCAGTAAGGGAGTGCCATAAAGGTGGTACTACTTCTTGCATGTAAGTGTCAGACTGGTGTGGAAGTAAATGTTAAAAGTAATCTAGGAAGGGAAAAAAAAACAAAAGAAAAAGAGTGTAACATAGGAAGGAAGGAGAGGTATGCTGCTCCTAGCCTGACCTTGTCGGGGAAGGACATCAGGGAAAGGGGAGGATGTTGCACCTCAGAATGCTGCTTCCAGGGAAAACCATCTTGTCCATTTTCTTTTTTGTTATTTCCTGCCTCTTCTCTCCCTTCTCTTTGCCTTACACTGGCTAATGCAGGAAGGGGCTGACTGTGAGTGAGGACTGTTGTGCTGGGCCCTGTACGATCACTGCTTTCAGCCCAAGAAGCTCGTGGGTGGACACAAGTTGCTATACTGCAGAGAATATACAAAAAACCCCAACAATGAATACAAAACAGTGGTGCGTGGCTGTACTTGGTTGGAAGTTACTGGTGGCATGGTGGGACTTGCTCAGGAACGTGAATGCCGTGAAGGGGCAAGACAAGAGGTGGGAGTAAGGTGCAGGGGGGGCAGAAAGGACAATTGGAAGCTAGAGAGAAGCAGGACCTTGTTGAAAGGAGCTGTGCTGTGCAATGAGGTTTCAAAGAGGATCGGAGCTGAAGATAGGTGTGGAATGGCATTGGGGTTCAAACCCTTCAAGGCAGTGCCAGCATGCTGGGTAGGTCAGGAAGAAGAGTAGGAGAGATTTATGAAGCATAAATTTGGACTTTGTTTTGCTGATATATAAGTTATAACAAATCCAAGACCTGGAACTTTAATGGAAAGTACATAATTTCAAAAGTCTTTTTATTTAAAATAATTTAAAAGTAAAAATCGCCTGGATTTGCTTTAATATTTTAGTAAAGTGGCAAGGCTGTAATTTTGAGGAGGAAGGGAACAGTAAGAATAAAACAGTATAAACAAATTAAATCAGAAAAATAAAAATGTACAGTAATTCCAGAGAACAGAAAAAGATAGTCCTAGGAGATGTTTTCTGTTGCTAACATAAGTGCATGAAACAGCTGCCAATATGCAGTACCAGGACTTCATTGTTCTTACATGAAAAAATGTTTCTCTGTGTGCAAGGGAAGTTCTCTCTACTGTTTAAATGTTTAAAAATCAAACATTTTTACTATATATCTTGAATAATCACACTTTAAATACTTCTCATGCCAGACTCTATAAATCCCACAGTGTTTTTCCGCTG